ACCATGCACATGCTGACATGTATAAACACAGACGCACAAGCACACACATATAGAGGTGACATAAATTCTTGCACAAGCATCCACATATAGGCACACACATATTTACACACTGATACTTACATTTATGCCTTTGTAGTCATTGCATATAATTACGCATTTGAGGCATATATTTTCAGTTGTAAATGCAAACACATGCACAAATCCATTTTGTTATTTACAATACATGAACAAATTCACAAAGACAAAAGACATATATATATATATATATATATATATATATATATATATATATATATATATACACGAATTATATATATATATATATATATATATACACGAATTATATATATATATATATATATATATATATATATATATATATATATATATATATATATATATATATATATATATATATATATATATATATATATATATATGAATGAGTGAATGAACAGATGAAATATTCCTGCAGCTCGTAGAATTTACTTTAAAAAAAGTGTTCAATACAAAGTAGAGCAATATATATTATTATCATTTTATTATAAGATATTATAACAAAAACATATTGAAATCGCTACAGAATAGATTTCGTGTTTCAGGTGATGGTAAGTGTAAAACATTTTGTTGTGACGCGTTTCGTCTTTTAGGACTTCATCGGACTATATTTGTTATCTTGGGGCTAAATGACGGAACGATTCAAAAGAAATCTTTTTTAACTCTTTATCCTACATTTCATGTTTCCCTAATATTGTTCTCGATATATATATATATATATATATATATATATATATATATATATATATATAATAATTTTTTCATACAGACGTAAACATTTACTCACTACAAAGATGCAACTTCGTTTCGGTGCATTTCAATTGCACCTCGACTGGTGAGAAGCAAAATTGGTTATGAACAATTCTGCTTGTAAGCTAGCTAAATGGAAAAAAGTAAGTGGCAATTTACATACAGTCTGCTTACAAGCAGAATTTTTCATAACGAATTTTGCTTCTCACCAGTCGAGGTACAATTGAAATGCACCGAAACGAAGTTGCATCATTGTAGTTAGTAAATGTTTTTGTCTATATGAAAAAAATATGATAAATAATTATTGCACTACTATCAGTATCTAGCCCTCTTTTGGATTAATTCTGTGAACGTTAGAATTTATATATTATTTTCGTTTTCATTGCATCGGATCTATCTATCTATCTATCTATCTATCTATCTATCTATCTATCTATCTATTTGTGTATTTAGGCAGCAATCCTTCTTTAATGCACATTTCATTGAATACGACAGACAAGGTGCTTTTATTTAGTTTTTATACAAATTATATTTAATCATTGAAAATGGCTAAATGTATAGCCGAAAGCGCACGGATAAAAAGAATATTCGGACAGTTTTTATATAATTTATCATCCAAAAATAAAAAAAAAATATTAGGTCTTATGAGAAATTGTATAGGAAACTAAATAAAAGCACCTTGTCTGTCGTATTCAATGAAATGTGCACCATCGTACACAAAACACACACACACACACATACATATGTGTGTGTGTGTGTGTGTGTGTGCGTGTGTGTGTGTGTAGGTACTGAGTTCAACACCTAGCGGCGACAGTCTGTTTCATGCTTGAACGCAATCTACAGGCCATGTATGTAGTTCTTTAGCTGGTCCATTTATATCTGTTGGGCAATAGTGAATTATGGGTAACGAGGTCTATTGTATTATCCTAACGGTTATTAGTCAGGCTGTAGCTGTTATGTTTCAGATTATTCTTGAGGTTGTAGGCTATTGGGTAGGAATAATACTAAAGAATCAGTTAAAAATTAACAACACTTTAAAATAGTTACTACAACCGCATTCGGGACCACAATTAATCTTCCTCAATACCCTTAGAATTTTCTGAAACATAACTGCTACCAGATTTTTGAATGTAACTCGAAGTCAAAAATACTGGCATAATCAAAACTTTCTGCACGACTCAAAGTAAAATGTTAAGAAGGAATCTGCAATATTGATAACATTAGAAAGACCAATAACAGTGTACTTGCGAAAACCTATGTTTCAACAAAGGGTAGCACTGGCTTTTCGGTTAATGAATACCAAATATTTTCCTATGAAGGATCGGCTAATATTACTAGATGGCCTCGTTAGATCTAGACTCAGAGCCTTTATCATAATAGTTAAGCTTATTCGAATTCACATATTTTCTTCTATGTGCTGTATTCCTTCATGACGTGGACGATCATGGCTCTCCACAGCTTCTTATCTTTTGTATTACTAAGCAATACTTGTCATTTTATTTGCCCTCCCAGTTCATGGTCTGACATTCATTCATAAAACTTCGCTGTGTAGGTTTCTCTTGTCCCGTGAGCATCGAATTCTCCAAATTATCTTTCCTCATCAGTTGTCCTAGAAATTTCAACTGTTTCTTTCCGATCTTCAGCAAAAGTTTCCTTTTTGTTCCGATTTCCTTAACACTTTCTTGTTGCAGTCTTCTGTAGAACCATATCTTTGTTGATTCATGACGTCTTTTAATTTGTGAGGAAACTTCCTAGCATTTACTGCTACATACAAGATATCATATCGCGTATCAGTTTGG